AGCAATGGGGGCAACGGGTGACACATTTCATTGGCTGCTGTTGACAGGTACTGTTTGCTGTAGCACTAAATAGCTGAAATTGGCAAACATTCGGCAAAATGTCTGGTTTTTGTTGTGTTACTTCTAGAGAAAGTGCACTATGCCTCTATGCAAGGCCTACAGAAAGATCAATTTTACAAAAGTACAAAATTTCTAGACAGATAGCTGATTATTCCGTCACATAGCTTTTCTTAACCAGCGACGAAGCTGGTTGCTTGGGCACTTCACTTCCCAATACTGACTGCTTTGGATCTTCCCAACGCTGGAGTCGGGACAAGGCCAGCTTGAGCAGCTTTTTCATGTATCATTACGCATTTCAAAAGCCCAGTGCTGCGGGACTAGGATCTCCTTTCAATTGAACGGAAATCGGTTGGTGTGAAGGTGTGAAGGGAGGAGTGGCAGGAAATTTCAACAAACATTAAACCCTTGTTGCCCATTGTACTGGCACTTCATCTCCCGTTTCCTTTGTTGTTGCTTACTTTCTTTCCGCTTCTCCTTTATTTTGGGGTTTTCCCCCCTTTTCTTTTCGTGAAGAGAATGGTGGACGGCGACGGGGTCGGGTACAAGAACCTGGGAACACCTTCATAACGGCAACGCTGCAAAAATTGTTGGAAATTCAATTTGTGCGAAACTTGAAAATGCCGGAGGCAACGCGAATCAGCAAACCTCAATGCCCCCCACTTTTCCCCTGGCCTTGCTTTGCCACAAATCCAAAGTCACATCAGCAGTCACTACCCCTACCAACGCCTCTCGGACGTCTTGTGTTTATCCACGAAATTTAATTGGCCTCACTTCGAGGGGAAAACAAAGAGGAACCCGACCGACCCGACGACCCGATCGACACGACCAACCAACCGAGGCTGTGTGGCGACCACCTGCCGGTAGCTCGGCCACTTGAGTCTGTTTAATTAGTGGACTTGGAAGCGAGTATTAAAGCCAGTCTGCCTGCCACTTGCCACCTACAAAAAACACACCCCAAAATACCCAAGAACAGTGACAGCTGCTTTAATGTGCCGAATAGCCGGGGTTTTGGTTGGGGACGGGCTGCAAATCCGCCGCCAGACGTGACGTGACAATAATACCGAAAAATCTGTCAACCTAATGGGAACTCCCCCGGCACTGGCCCCTTTGCCACCAGCCACGCTACTATTTGCCACCTTCCCCCCTCCCTCCTACTGCTGCGCGTAGATGCTTTCCCCTTTGGGCAACTTTCACGGTGTCTGCCTTACATGTGGCTGCATAAATTTTACGCTCATCACCTGTCGCTGCCACAGTCCCGGCCAGAGCCCCTCCCTCGCTGCTGACTGTGACCTTGTTGTTGCTGCCGCTGCCGAGTTACTTATTTAGCATAGCATACTTTGTGTGTGGGGGCTTTTTGAATATGGCACAAGGCTGCTTGCCGCTCGCTGCTGATGCTGGTGCCGGTTCACACTTTGGGAGCCCTTGGCTCGTAAACAAATTGAATTGAAGTCATAAAAGTCGTCGCCGAAAGAAGCTACCAGCGAGATGGGAATGGGGGTGGGGTAAGGAGTAAGGAGTAAGGAGTAAGGAGGAGCTCTGTGTAGCAGTGGAAAAGCCTTATGCTGAGTGTCAGTGATTGCGATGTTCCACGTGAGGGTGTGAGTGTGTTAGTATGTGTGTGTGTATGTGTGTGTTTGTGTGAGTCCCTTTCCAGTTTGCTGCTTGTCAGCGCCATTATGTCGCACTTGTTAAATCCGAGAGTGTGCCTCACTCACACAAGCATCACACAACAACACACGTACATGCAGTGATACACACACACAAGCACACACAGGGAGAGACACACATGTCGCGGCAGCTTCCCTTTTTTTATGCCTCAATAAAAACACAATACGTTACAATTGAATTGAACTCAATTGAATTTGATTGAAGTTGTAAAGCTCAGACAGGCACTGCAACTGTCTCTGTGTGCGTGTGTGTGTGAGTGTGTGTGTGTGTGGGTGAGCGGTATATAGAGAAAGAAAGAGATGCACATAGAGAAATAGAAAGAGAAGGGAAGGTAGTGGTAGTGGTATTGGCGGACGTGGAGGGATAGGGACAAATGCAATAACGTGTAGCCAGTCGAAGAGCCTGCCAAAAGGACTCAGCCTGCCATCAATGAGGTGTCATTGCCGACAACGTCGACGACGAGAACGACGACGAAGCTGAGGACCAGGACGATGAGGACAATAATGACAACCAAAGCCAACAGCGGCGACAACGATGGTGACGACGAAGAGGCTAACGACGATGATGATGATGATAAAGTGTGCCGCCATAAATACATCTGCGGAGTCAAATGTGTCGTCAATGGTGGGGTTAAGAGGCAGTCACCTTTTCAGCCATGGTGGTGGGGCATACACCCATCCATGACATCAGAATCATAGATGGAGTCGCAGTCATATTCGGAGTATCAACGGTTTCTGTTTGCCTGATATTGGAGTCGAGTCCGACATGTGCAAATACATCATTTTATTCATTTTCATATTTCATAGTCATATTGCCATATATAATGGCACTCTTGCATGTTCGGAAAGGCTTACAGATTGGCTTAGAGGGGTTTTCGGATAGGGGTTATACCTAGCATGTCGCGTATCGAGGCAGTGTCTGGATTCACGTCCTCGTTTTGGGAATCTAATTCGTTTTTCTAACAATAATAAGATGTCTGAACTATGAGGTTGCTGCTACCCCTCATGCGAAATTGTCTGTTGGAGCTTTCATGTTCTACTATAGGCCGCTAGAGTAAGGCCTCGCCCTATGCTTTTTTGAGTGTACGTTTTTCTAAGTCTTGCTAAATTATCAGCTTGCTTTGTCACCATTTTGCCTGTCCCATTCCATACTCAAGCGGACTTAATATCGCTCGAATACGTATACTCGCACCGCTTCGGGGTATCGGTATCCCGCTCAAATCCGTTCCGGGTGTGCAAAACGCACGTTCATTTTTTTGCGTGGGGTCCAGCACAATCTGCAACCTGCAACTGGCAACTTTCCGGATCTCTAATGCTAATGGACAGACAGGGGGGGAGCGTGGAGAAAAGGGAGAACCCCAGAAAGAAGACACCTTGCGCGCGATAGAAATATAAATAGAACTATAAATAGTGGAAAATAGACGAAATTGAAAATAAATATTAAGTGTGGCATCAGTTTATGGGTGGTCGACAAGACGCGGTCAAGGGTAATGGTCAGAGCAACCCAGAGGAGAGATGGCAAACAAAACAGCGAGCAAAACAATAGACCAGCCAAATCAATAAACAAACGAAATTTTTGCATCTCCAACTGGCCGACTCCCGGTTTATTTTACACTGAAAACGAAACAAAAATTTGTAGATTCACTTCCGATATCCAATTGGGATGCATATAAAATTTTTTTTTTTTTCTCATGGAAAAGATTCGGAAATCGAATAAGGCTAGTGTAGGGTCTCCCAGCCCGATATACCCCAACAAGTTACGTGAACATCATAGCCAAATCATAGTGGTGTTCTTTCCGATCTGTTCCTTTCTTGCCTCTCTGTATCCTGCACTCTTCGTTGCTGCAGTTACAGCATTTAAGCGCGTCCTATCGCGCTCTGTCTATCGGACTATCGCTGGTTTTCAGTTCGAACGCTCCAACGCTCTCCTTCTTTCGGTCTCGCGCTTGCATTGTGATCTTCATCTTTTCTCGTCGCAATCACCCTGACTCAAGTCGCATAATGTAGCTCGTATGTAGCTCCCAAGAGTGGCGTGGCTATAAGGAAGGAAGGCGCCCCAAGAGCGTTGAAAAGTGCCTCGGAGCATGAACCATACTAACATCAGAGCCTTGCATTCTATGATATTTTACAGAGCTATGAATAATAATCCTAAATGCATTGGTACATCGAAGAATAGTCATTACCGTTTTACATATGTACATACGTTCCATAGGTGTACCAGTGCACCCTTAGAACATTTTTGTACTTATGCCTTTCCTGGGCAACACCACAAAGTGCTCTTCTATGGCAGGCCCAACCTTCAGGTAGTCTTGTGTATCTTGCCCTGTCTTCCGATCGGATAAAACCCATCTATCCGAACTTCTCTATATAATGTCCTTTCTCCGTAATTTAGTCCGTAATTAATTAAGGAATCCGAAAGTACATACATGTGTGCAACATTAAACGAGGGGGAACGTTGCGAGTTGCTGCGGAGACCGCAACTCTACATTTATACCCGATACTTAGTCAGTATGGCTCTCCTCCGGCAGACGGCCTCCGGCTAATATTAAACGACACGACAAAGAGTGCGTGCGAGAGAGACAGAAAATCAGTCTGAGCGTGACGTCGGGCGCTACGTAGCCAGTGCAAATTGATTTGTTCCTTTTGGCTATAAAAATGATCTGATCTGATCCAGATCAGGATAGATATGGTCATTCTCTATGACTGTGCGTTTTTAGTTTTCTCGAATCTGCAATATTATGGATGCAACAGATTTTCGTCCTTTGTGGGGGTGGAAGGGGGTGGGGCGAAATTTTGATATCTACGTTTTAAAGTGAGATCTAAACGAAGTTTGGATACCCAATTTGATTGCTCTAGCCTTAACAGTCTCTGAGATTTGTGGATGCCACAGATTTTCGCCTTTGTGGGGGCGGAAAGGGGCGAGGCAAAGTTTTGAAATATACTTTTAGCAGTGACATATCACAGAAGTCCGGATAAAACGTCGTTGCTCTAGCTCTTATAGTCTTTGAGCTCTAGGTGCTGATAGGGACGGACAGACGGACGGACGGACAGACAGACAGGGCTCAATCGACTCGGCTGTTGATGCTGATCAAGAATATATATACTTTATGGGGTCGGAAACGATTCCTTCTGGACGTTACACACATCCATTTTCACCACAAATCTAATATACCCCAATACTCATTTTGAGTATCGAGTATAAAAACACCCAATTTGTCAAATTTTCGCAACCAAAGCCACCCGTTCAATTCAATTCAAGGTAAAGTGAAACAATTGTCATTTCTTTAATTATATTTATTAACATGCTAGAATTGTATTAAACATTAAAATGTGTGTTCGCCATACCAACGGACTCGCCATTAGCCTTGAGTTATTTAACGAGAAATTGTGAATGTGTAGTGCGTGAATATGTGCGTGTAATAACCTGTAGTATGTCACCTCTATAAAAACCTAGGAAAGCTGTGATGGGTAATGATAAATTAGTTCGCGGTGCATCCTCTATTTGCCACGGCTTCCACTTACCCCGTCAAAAGCTGTACGCTGTCCGTCAAGGATGGCTGTGTACCAGAGTAGATTGTTCGCCATATTAAGTAGAGTTGTCGCCTTGTGATCCGAGGGTCGTGGGCTCGCCAGAAACACATTTTGTTTGTGTAACTCCAGCAGCAGAAGTTGTTCCATCCTACGGAGAGCGTCACATCAGTTTACAGGGCTTTCCTAGCAGCATTGTCTCGCATAACGTTGTGCGTGTATGTGCCTTGGCTGACTAGAAGAAGAACGAAGAGCATTGAGGGTCGAAACTGGCTTGCAACGGCGGCGCTGCTGTTTAACACTCACTATATCGACGTTAGGCATATCTGCTATTAGCCTAACGAGGCATTTTGTGTGCCGATTTGTGTAAGTGCTCTTCTGGTTTTTTTCACATTTTAAATTTTACTAAAATTTTATTTTTAACACAACAATTTTGTTATTTGTATAACCGAAACTAAGTTTTTTTTAGGAGATGTTGCCCCTATGGAGCCCGAAACGATACTGAATTTGTTTGATTTTTTCAATAGCTCGTAAACTTTCACTTGCACTACGACTGGTTTTGAACCGAGCATGGCCTACTACAGCTATCGAATTTTTTGACAACGTGTTCTTGGGTGGATTTGAATGTCATGGCAATTGACATTACGGAAATACATGGGTGAAAGGAAAGCTTTTGTGAATCATTTCTTAGTGCGAGGCTTTGAATTTGCCCAAGTGGTTCAAAACCAGCACAATTGGCATAACAAGAGTAGACCCCCAATCATTTATGCATGTCCTGACTGGGCCTGCGATAGGGTCTGGGCCTCCCACTTCTTGATCTCCTGATCAATACGTTCCTTCGCCCGAACGACCTTCGATTGAATGTAGAACGATCCGCCTGCCTTCTTCTGATTGGCATGAAACAAGTACAGGAACTTGTTCTCGACTTCTCCGCGATCCAGCACATCCTTTACGTTCAGAATCAGCTGCGCCTCTTCCAGCGTCATACCCTTGAGCGCAGCATTGGTTTTGGTGGGATTAAAGGTGGCGGACTGCGCTGCATGCACCCGGGCTGCCTCCCTGTAAACTTCGACCTCCTGACGCACCGTTTTCGCGAACGCCTTGCCAATCGACTGGGCGCCCAAGAGAACGATCCTCACCAAGTACCGGGCCATAACAACGAAATTTAATATCTGGATTTTAGTATCCGAATAAATATATAAACATATATATATACAGAATTTTCTCAGCTGTATTGACGGCAACCAAAAGTGGATTTCCTTTTTTCCTAATTACCCGATGGGTCACAGAAGAATCCGTAGTTTTATGAGCCAACGACAGGAGAACATGCCTCTGTCGACAGAGCTGCTGCTGATCAATTACATGAATATAATAAATTGTATTCACGGTCTCAGAGGCACTTTTGCAGAGGCAACGAGGGGGAACGTTGCGAGTTGCTGCGGTCGCCGCAACTCTACATTTATACCCGATACTTAGTCAGTATGGCTCTCCTCCGGCAGACACTGCACAATATTAAACGACACGACAAAGAGTGCAAAGTTTTGAAATATTCTCGTAATAGTGACATATCAAAGAAGTCCGGATATAAAACGTCGTTGCTCTAGCTTGTATAGTCTTTGAGCACTAGGCGCTGATAGGGACGGACAGACGGACGGACGGACAGACGGACAGACGGACAGACAGACAGGGCTCAATCGACTCGGCTGTTGATGCTGATCAAGAATATATATACTTTATGGGGTCGGAAACGATTCCTTCTGGACGTTACACACATCCATTTTCACCACAAATCTAATATACCCCAATACTCATTTTGAGTATCGAGTATAAAAACACCCAATTTGTCAAATTTTCGCAACCAAAGCCACCCGTTCAATTCAATTCAAGGTAAAGTGAAACAATTGTCATTTCTTTAATTATATTTATTAACATGCTAGAATTGTATTAAACATTAAAATGTGTGTTCGCCATACCAACGGACTCGCCATTAGCCTTGAGTTATTTAACGAGAAATTGTGAATGTGTAGTGCGTGAATATGTGCGTGTAATAACCTGTAGTATGTCACCTCTATAAAAACCTAGGAAAGCTGTGATGGGTAATGATAAATTAGTTCGCGGTGCATCCTCTATTTGCCACGGCTTCCACTTACCCCGTCAAAAGCTGTACGCTGTCCGTCAAGGATGGCTGTGAACCAGAGTAGAGGTTTGTTCGCCATATTAAGTAGAGTTGTCGCCTTGTGATTCGTAGAAGTAGAAGATGCCATCATTCCAAATATCGAAATAAGTGTGCAAGTGTGTTGTCAACAACTATACCCTCCCGAGGGTCGTGTGCTCGCCAGAAACACATTTTGTTTGTGTAACTCCAGCAGCAGAAGTTGTTCCATCCTACGGAGAGCGTCACATCAGTTTACAGGGCTTTCCTAGTAGCATTGTCTCGCATAACGTTGTGCGTGTATGTGCCTTGGCTGACTAGAAGAAGAACGAAGAGCATTGAGGGTCGAAACTGGCTTGCAACGGAGGCGCTGCTGTTTAACACTCACTATATCGACGTTAGGCATATCTGCTATTAGCCTAACGAGGCATTTTGTGTGCCGATTTGTGTAAGTGCTCTTCTGGTTTTTTCACATTTTAAATTTTACTAAAATTTTATTTTTAACACAACAATTTTGTTATTTTTATAACCGAAACTAAGTTTTTTTTAGGAGATGTTGCCCCTATGGAGCCCGAAACGATACTGAATTTGTTTGATTTTTTCAATAGCTCGTAAACTTTCACTTGCACTACGACTGGTTTTGAACCGAGCATGGCCTACTACAGCTATCCAATTTTTTGACAACGTGTTCTTGGGTGGATTTGAATGTCATGGCAATTGACATTACGGAAATACATGGGTGAAAGGAAAGCTTTTGTGAATCATTTCTTAGTGCGAGGCTTTGAATTTGCCCAAGTTGTTCAAAACCAGCACAATTGGCATAACAAGAGTAGACCCCCAATCATTTATGCATGTCCTGACTGGGCCTGCGATAGGGTCTGGGCCTCCCACTTCTTGATCTCCTGATCAATACGTTCCTTCGCCCGAACGACCTTCGATTGAATGTAGAACGATCCGCCTGCCTTCTTCTGATTGGCATGAAACAAGTACTGGAACTTGTTCTCGACTTCTCCGCGATCCAGCACATCCTTTACGTTCAGAATCAGCTGCGCCTCTTCCAGCGTCATACCCTTGAGCGCAGCATCGGTTTTGGTGGGATTAAAGGTGGCGGACTGCGCTGCATGCACCCGGGCTGCCTCCCTGTAAACTTCGACCTCCTGACGCACCGTCTTCGCGAACGCCTTGCCAATCGACTGGGCGCCCAAGAGAACGATCCTCACCAAGTACCGGGCCATAACAACGAAATTTAATATCTGGATTTTAGTATCCGAATAAATATATAAACAGAATACAAATATATACAGAATTTTCTCAGCTGTATTGACGGCAACCAAAAGTGGATTTCCTTTTTTCCTAATTACCCGATGGGTCACAGAAGAATCCGTAGTTTTATGAGCCAACGACAGGAGAACATGCCTCTGTCGACAGAGCTGCTGCTGATCAATTACATGAATATAATAAATTGTATTCACGGTCTCAGAGGCACTTTTGCAGAGGCGACGAGGGGGAACGTTGCGAGTTGCTGCGGTCGCCGCAACTCTACATTTATACCCGATACTTAGTCAGTATGGCTCTCCTCCGGCAGACACTGCACAATATTAAACGACACGACAAAGAGTGCGTGCGAGAGAGACAGAAAATCAGTATGATTCTGCGTTTTTTGTTTTCTCGTATCCTCAATATTGTGGATGCAACCGATTGTCGTCTTTTGTGGGGGCGGAAGTGGGCGGGGCAAAGTTTTGAAATATTCTCGTAATAGTGACATATCACAGAAGTCCGGATATAAAACGTCGTTGCTCTAGCTTGTATAGTCTTTGAGCACTAGGCGCTGATAGGGACGGACAGACGGACGGACAGACGGACAGACGGACAGACAGACAGGGCTCAATCGACTCGGCTGTTGATGCTGATCAAGAATATATATACTTTATGGGGTCGGAAACGATTCCTTCTGGACGTTACACACATCCACTTTTACCACAAATCTAATATACCCCAATACTCATTTTGAGTATCGGGTATAATAAAAAGGGAATCCTGTATATAGAATACATTAAATTGTGTAAATAAAAATGTTGTACAAACACAGCATTAGTTTGATATTTAAATATCAAACCGTTTATTGATATCAAATATCGTTTTGATATTTTAATTTGAAATTGCGACGCCTAAAATTGTTAAATAGAGATGATCGAAAAAATATTTTTGTCATTTGCAAACATATATATGTATATCAAATCTGTGCAGGTACCAAAATGTATATTTATCATAGTTTTCTGATGGAATAAGTCTTCATCGAACCCTTTGTTGATTTTTTAATTCTTTTTTTATATCCAAAGAGCATCAATAGTATTGAAATGGAAATGATTCGGAATATCAAAACAATATTTCTTCATTTTTAATAGTGTTATAAAATTAGAATTTTTGAAGAAGAAGAAAATGCAAAACTGCGCAGATCGTAACATACACTAAAATTCTTTCAGTGTGGATTCTCTTTCTGGTTCAGGCGCGGAGTGTGGATTGGTGTTGATAACACTTTCGCTGGAGCTCAGCAAACGCAAGGAGCGAGCGAGAGAGATAGGGAGCAGCTGAGTGAGCGAGATGAAAGACAGACAGACACAGTGAGATACAGCGCTAGACAGAATGAGAGAGTCCAACGTGACGATTGTTAATCCCCTGGTGCTTCATTATTTTCTTTCAATATTTTGTTCACTTCTTCTCTACGGGCAGACACATATTTGTATATATGTACACATACGCTCAGCGAATTTTGTATGGCGGGATATTTTTTAATTTCCGCTTTAAATAAAAACCACTTTCCCGGCAAACGGCAGAGGACAACACAAATACCAACACCAGGGAAAATACCAGAACAAACACGAGAGAGCAGGGGGGCACAAAAACCAAAATTGCCATCAAGGGCCTGTGATGCAACAATTGCACGAGTTTTCGACGGACAGCTTCCTTCTGTGGATTCAATGGCCACTCAGGAGAGCACGAAGGGCAATGGAAAGAAATCGCTGAACCTAAGATGGGGTCGGAGCGGAGGAGCCGTGATGCAAATGCAAGGTACCAAAATGTGCATTTGTCTTGGGACTTGCTCTCACAGTTGGTATTTCAATTCCAGAGTCACATATACCAGTGCATGTACACCAACAGTGGCACACCAGCACACACCCACTGAGGTACACAATTGGAACACACTAGAGCACGTAGAGCATGCTAAAGCGAACAGATTTCTGGGGGAGGACACGCGGGGGATGGCAATCCAAATGGCAGACCCCAATTCTGGCCCGATCGCCGTCTACCAACAACAGCATCAACACGAACAACACCAACACCAACGCCAAAAACAACAACAACAACAACAGAACTCGATTAGTGCTGCAGTTGCTGTTGACAATGCATTTGCCTTACATGTTTAATGATGTATTTACCTTGGCCAACTAAACTGAACCGCCCCGAACAATGCCATGCCCCCCAAGACCGTACTCATACGACACCCACACCCACAACCAAAACCAAACGCAAACCCACACCCAGACCGAGACCCTCAACCAGATGCCGACCAAACCCATCTCGGACTTCGAGTGCAGCGTTCGATTCTGATTTCCAGCACAATTGAAGTGGGAATGGGGTTGAGCTGGGACCGAGGCTGTGTTCGCCCTGATTGCAACCGTGCAAAGTGCCAACACCTTACTGAACAGTCCCTTAACTGACCCCACTCTCTGCACCCGATTCCACTGTCAAAGCGATGGCAACTGCCACTGCCACGGCCCACCCTCTGTCCAACCCCTACAGAAGGCCCAGAACCCCCACACCCACCCCCACACATTCCATTCCTCTTCAAAATTGAACTGCAGTTGACGTGAATTGTTCAGCTTGAAACAGAGACAGAGATAGATAGATAGAGAGTCAGAGCGAGAAAGAGGAAGAATTAGACGGAGATGGCACACATGCAAGGGCGGTAGAGAGTTGTAGGCGTGGCAGAGCGCTAGGAGCAACTGGAGATGCATAAATTTCTGACTTGCTGCCAGCCATTTAAGTGGAAAACGAAATATTTTGAAGCCTGCAGCAGTAGCAACAGGAGAAATAGCAGTAGCAGCCAGGAGATCGAAAGCAGCAGGAGCTGCATCAACTAAAGACAAAAGGGGCCCGGGGTCAAGGCATCTTTACAAAACCATGCGGCAGGTCCCATGTCCAGGTGGGGGCAGTGAATGAACGAACTGCGGGGATCAAACGCATGATGCACATGGCACATTGATTGTTTATTGCTTATTGAAATTGATTACCATAAATTGATTGTGTGGATGTTTTTCTGAAAGTTAAGTGCGTGTGCACTCAGACGTCCCCTTACCACCACACAAATCTATAAAACAGAGGAGAGCCGAGTTCCTAAAAGCTCAAATAATACAGAACCGTTAATTTTACTAATCGAATTGGTTCCGAATCCTTTCCGGGTGCTAAAAACGCACGTTCATTTTTTTGTTTCGGGTCGAGCACAATCTGCAATTTGCAACTAGAACCTTTCCGTATATCTAATGCTAATGGACAGACAGGTGGGGAGCGTGGAGAACAGAGAGAACCCCAGAAAGAAGGCACCTTGCGAATATCAAAGAGTGGCGGAGCCATACGGAAGGAAGACGCCTCAAGAACATTAAAATGTGCCTTGAAGCATATACTTACATCAGAGCCCCGCATTCTATGATAATTTACAGGAGTATAAGTAATAATCCTAAGTGCATTGGTACATCGAAGAATAGTCAGTACCGCATAAAGCCTATCTATCCGAACTTCTCTATAGAATGTCCCGTCTGCCGTAATTTAGTCCGTAATTAATTAAGGAAGCCGAAAGTGCATACATGTGTGCAACATTAAAAACAATATTTTTAACCAGACCATCGTGTTTATTCATTCTCTCATGTATCTTTCAAAATATTCGCTGATCTCACGGAACAGGCGATGGATCTCCTGGCTAACGGCACTGTGATCCATGGCAGTCTCTGCGGTGTGTCCCTGCCGGTTGAGGGCTAGCTTCCTGTTGACGGCACTTGTAAACTCGATAAGGAGGTCCGAATAAGCGGTAAGGCGTTGATGGAAGCTCGGCATATTTAGTCCGGCACGCTCCGCATTTGCACGATTTTGCTCCACAGTGGTTCTGACTTGTAACAGGGCCATATACAGTTCACTATCAGTCAACTCATCGTCCTCTATGATTGGTTCTTCGTTCTGGTGGTGGTCCTGGTCGTGGTTCTGGTTCTGGTTCTGGTCCTGGTCCTGGTCCTGGTCCTGGTTTTGGTCCTGGTCCTCTTTGTCCCAGGCCAATGGCTTGTCGTCGCGTATAAATGGTGGCATTTCTCTCAGGGCGTTTGTGTTCCCTAGTAGTTTTAATTCTAAAATTAATATCGGTAGAGCCGTATGAAAAAATTTAAAAAAAAAAAAAAAAAAAAAAAAACAAAACAAAATTTTAAAACGAGACGTGTACT